ATAATTGTTTGACCTTATTGGTTTGACCTATAACATACTTATTTTTATCATATTAAACAACCACTACGCCTAATTTCCTACACAGTTTTACACCATTTAAACAGTAAAAGATCAGATGTTATATACAATGAATTGTAAGTGTCATAATGTTTTACGGATTATACTATTAATTCTAATGACAATCATTAAACTAACTCATTTCCATTATTTAATGTTTAGTAGTAAAATGTGTTTCCCAGTCCCTGATTGGTTAGATTCTTTTCAATTAGAAACCATAAGTCAACTTGTTTTACTGTATCAGTAGCAGTATTTACTGTCTGTTGTTACTGTTAAATAAGACTGGGTTATTTTACTAAATAGGTAGCAATTTTTTTCACATTTGTGTTTCTATCACATAAGTCTAACTAGGGCTTATAATGCAAAAATCTGGTTTCTATCCCTTCGGTGGTTACAGAACAGATACCTTATTGTGTAGCTTGTCCTTAAAAAAACAAACGAACGAACAATGAAACAAACGTACCTTTTCGGGACACAATTTCAAACAACGCTTCACACCTTTACTGTCTAAAAATGAAGAGAAATTTGTCCATCACAGAAGTGTATGTTCAATAAGTTACTGACTGTACGAATTAATTACTTCTTAGTTTTCAAAATTTGAGATTGTTTTATTTATAACGTCTTCGTTGAGAGATAAAAGACATAAATCAGCATTATTATTTGATAACAAATCTGAGTATTTATAAAACCCTGTATTATTAAACTCGTACATGTCTTGTCTTAATATATATACAACTAAATAATAAACACACAATAGGATTTTCATTCAAGCGTTATTTACCACCTTCTAACACAGAGTCACTTACCACACAACAACTCGTAAATTTTGTCGTAGAGAAATACACTTCTATTGCCAATAGATGGCAGCAGCTATAAGATTTGTTGCAAAAAGGAATTTCATTGTTGAAGAACTGAAAACGAGAAAGGTTTTTCCAACAATTCCAACGTAAAGAAAGGATTTAGTGGTCTGTCTTTAATAATAACTGGAGAATCTAAATCTAATAATGTCGTGTGCTTATATAGCAATAGGGGCGGTGCCGATCTCTGTGTCGTAGCCCTTACGGTTTGAGAAGCCACATGAGGGAGGTACTTGAGGGGCCATCCACTAAATCAACTTAGTACCTGTAATTTCAATTCTCCACTCCTTGATCACGTGGGTACATTTTAAGGAAAACTTGTAATAATATGTTTTCATATTATGAACGAATGTCGTGTGCCACCTATCGTAACTTATTCACCCAAAACTGAAATTATAAACACGTGGGTATGTATGTTGAAATTTGGAATTTTCCCAATCTCTTATTTTTCCCTGGAATTAATTAACTGGAACTGTGTTCCTGGAAAGGTCATGTGTAGATTCAGGGAAACTTTTCGATAAAAACTTGTTGTTAATTTCATAAAAGACAATATAGAAACGTATTAAAGAATGTTGGCCAATATGTAACATTACGACGAGCCCCCCAATGGCACAGCGGCACGTCTGCGTACTTACAACGCTAGAATCCGGGTTTCGATACCCGTGGTGGGCAGAGCACGGATAGCCCATTGTGTAGCTTTGTGCTTAATTCCAAACAAACATTACGTATTTGGTAAAATCAGAAGTCGTAGTTTTGAAATAGGTAGATGATAACCCGGATTTACCATACAAAACGTAAATTACCCACAAAACCTCTTCGATGTCCCTATGCTTCTTTACAGGAGTTTCTTGTAGAAAAAAACATGAATAATAAATACAGTGTACTTAAGACCCAGCCGGTTGTGAAAGGTTTGTTTTATAGAGTGACATTTAATGACATTGAACTCTAAGGAATCAGGGTTGGTTTATAGAGTGACATTTAATGACATTGAAATCTAAGGAATCAGGTGTGGTTTACAGAGTGACATTAAATGACATTGAAATCTAAGGAATCAGGTGTGGTTCATTGAATGACATTGAAATCTGAGGGTTTGGTTTATAGAGTGACATTGAAATCTAAGAAATCAGGTTTGGTTTATAGAGTGACATTTAATGACATTGAAATTTAAGGAATCAGGTGTGGTTTACAGAGTGACATTGAAATCTGAGGAATCGGGTTTGGTTTATAGATTGACATTGAATGACATTGAAATCTAAGGAATTAGGTTTGTTTATAGAGTGACATTGAATGACATTGAAATCTAAGGAATCAGATTTATTTATAGAGTGACATTGAATGGCATTGAAATCTAAGGAATCAGGGTTGGTTTATAGAGTGACATTGAAATCTAAGGAATCAGGTGTGCTTTATAGAGTGACATTGAAATCTAAGGCATCAGATGTGGTTTATAAAGTGACATTGAAATCTAAGGAATCAGGTTTGTTTATAGAGTGACATTGAATGACATTGAAATCTAAGGGATCAGGTTTGTTTATAGAGTGACATTGAAATCTAAGGCATCAGGTGTGGTTTATAAAGTGACATTGAAATCTAAGGAATCAGGTTTGTTTATAGAGTGACATTGAAATCTAAGGAATCAGGTTTGTTTATAAAGTGACATTGAAATCTAAGGAATCAGGTTTGTTTATAAAGTGACATTGAAATGTAAGGAATCAGGTGTGGTTTATAGAATGACATTGAAATGTAAGGAATCAGGTGTGGTTTATAGAGTGACATTGAAATGTAAGGAATCAGATGTGGTTTATAGAGTGACATTGAAATCTAAGGAATCAAATGAATTAAGGAAAATTTCATTATCTGGCAAAATATCGTCAGATGTTGTTAGGATTTCGGCCGAAAACAGAGACAACAGCGAGGTATGTGTGGGTGGTTTGGTTTGACCAGAAGTTTGTGACAAAGTCTTCGTTAGTGCGTGATTTTAAAGAGAAACTGTGTATAAGTGAAACCGGAATAGTTTTGTGACTTTTTCTTGTAGACCAGCTCTACAAAAATCCCGTTAACGAATGGTAAAAGTAATGTTGTAATGTTATAGTTCACAGGGCATCTGATCCTCCTGCGGAACAGCAGTAAGATACATAATAGGCTATCTATGCTGTGCCCAACACGAGTATTGAAACCCGGTCTTTAGTGTTGTAAGTCTGCAGACGTATTGCTGAGCCACTGGGGGAAGTTTACCCTAACTTCTTTCATAAGTCGTTAGAGCACTCGACTCACAATCTGCATATAACTTTAGTAGCTTCGCCATAAACAATAGATGATACATCGAGGTAGTAATGCTACATTTTCATTACTTTATAGAAAGTTTAAATGGTATTATTTTAAAATATATAATGTTAATTCAAACAGACAAGAATTGTTAAAATAAATGTTACATTTCTCTTTGCTTCCAGGGAAAATGTTTTACAAAAGTATGGACATGTTTCTGTAATTATGACTTGGAAATAAATATAAACAGAAGTTAATAAGTTATAGAATAATCAAGTATATCATTTAGTAT